GGTCATGAGGAGTGGCCCATTATATGCTCTCAAGTTGGAACGGGGTTAGGGATAGCCTAAGTTTCTAAGGAATTTTGGAAGCAAGGTCTCCAGGACCTTGAGGGGGCTAGCTATTGTTGGGGAAAGGTCATTTATTACCTTCTAATAAACCGTAAGTCGTAAGACCCTTCAGATATATATCGGTGGACCATATGCTTGGGGGATGACTGCCAACATGGGTCTTGGGAGAGTAGAGACAAAGGAAGCCTGGCTCAAGTTTCCGAAGTAATTTTTATTTGTTAAAATAGACTTACAAGACTCTGGGGTTTGGGCTAAGATTACCTTTTGCCCTTAGCAAAGTGTTAACTAACACAAGGCAGCTGAGTCCCTAGAGGAATGTCACTCTGCCTGTTTCAAGGACTTGTCAGCAGGCTGTAGGCTGTAAGGAAATTTAAATTTTTTTTTTTTTTTTTTTGCCTTTGTTCCCCACATCACTATCACCATTCCTGGGTACGTGGCTGTGTTCTGCAGCCATCCTATCCATCCCTCTGCTTTATGACTCACCTGTTCCCATCAGTGCTCCATTTAGAGAGCTATGGAAAATGTGAAGTGTATCTTTAAGCCATTCCATCTCTCAGTTTTACTGGTTTTGTGACTTTGGTCAAGCTAGTCACCTCTTAAAGCTTCATTAATAATAGCACAACACACAGAATGTTACCAAGTTCTACATTTCCTGAATTGCCAAATAAATAGTCTGCTCAGGGATCTGGATCTTGACTGTTGTGCAGGAGCCAGGCTGGGAACATAATCGAGTGCTGCTGAGGGAGGATGAGGTGGAGGGGACCTGGGCCCCATAGATACCCAGGGAGCAACCCAGCTGAGCACCACCCTCCAGCAGGAGAAATGCTGGTCAACAGTGTCGGATGCAGAGTTTTCAGAAGCTGGACATCTGGGTTTTTAGGTAGTCTGCTCATTGGCTAACATTTTGTTTTGTTTTGTTTAAATGTTTTTATACTGTGCAGCATATAAAATGCAACTACCAGACACAGAGAACTCATAGGGCTGCCAGCTTGTCACCTTTGGTATAGAGAGAGAGAGTAGCCACAATGTCTAGTGGGCGGTACAGGTTTTTTTTTTTTATTGTTGTTGTTGGGCTCTACATTATAGAGTAGATTCTTTATAAACTTGAGTTTTAGTTTTGAGTAGCCCTAGGGTGTCTTGGAGAATCTTACAATACAGTACAGTGTTCCTCTCTACTGACAAGGAAGAAAACTTTAATGCTTTCCCAACTGTCAGGAATTTCCACTCATTATCTCAAGGGCTAGCTGGATTTCAGCAGCATGACATGGAAAATGTTACTGGGCTTCTCCACTGGCTGGGGAGGGTCACTTAGACACACCTGTTACACTTAGACACATGGAAAATAAAATTTCCCACGGACGAGAACAGAGAAAGGCACAATCATACATATCACCTGTCTGACGCAAATACATATCTAAGTAATTATAGAAGAAAAGAGCACCCATGCGCAAGCATTGTGCTGGTCATGTTAACTCTTAGGAACAAGCAGGCTTTGCAACCACTCTCTGAAAGCTATGATAGGATTGGGGACAGTTTCTGCACAGGAGGACATACTCTACACTGATATTTTGTATGGTGATTTCTTTTCTTTCTTTCTTTCTTTCTTTCTTTCTTTCTTTCTTTCTTTCTTTCTTTCTTTCTTTCTTTCTTTCTTTTTTTACCACCTCCCTTTATTACTTAAAACAACAGCAACAACAACAAAAAAACCCACCAAACAAGTCAACCACAGAGTACAGGATCACAGTGGCACGCTGCGCTAACAGGACCCATGGGGGATAACGTTTTAAAACAACTATTCAGGGCAGCCCCGATGGCGCAGCGGTTTAGCGCCGGCTGCAGCCCAGGGCGTGATCCTGGGGACCCTGGATCAAGTCCCACGTTGGGCTCTCTGCATGGAGCCTGCTTCTCCCTCTGTCTCTCTCTCTCTCTGTGTCTCTATGAATAAATAAATAAATTCTTTTTAAAAAAATAAAACAACTATTCAAAGCGTTCCACACTAATCCACATCAGTTTCCTTTAACCTCCATCACCAATGGATTTTTATCTGGCAAGAGCGCTGCTCACATTTAATCTCTGCTCCTTCACTGCTCTTCTGAAAAATCTCTGTCCTCACTGCTTGTGTATGTGGATCAGTGGAAAAGAGATGAATGAGCTGGCCCTGGCCTGGCCCTGGCTGAAGTGGTGGCCACTGTTTTCTCCTGACCTGCTTTTCTGAAGCCTCCTTCAGAGCCTGCTGCCCCCCATCCCTATTCCTATACTACTTGATGGCTTCAAATTCTAGTTACCTCTGCACTGGCCACACAGCCCAGCAGTTCTTCAAACTGCCACCCTGGGTAAGCCATGTTCATTCACCATTTGTGTCAAATCCGAGGGTAGTTATTCCTTTAATGTTATCCTTATATTTAAAATAATCCCTATGGTATATGGCATTCTGCTTTTTTTTTAAATTTTATTTATTTATTTATGATAGTCACACAGACAGAGAGAGAGAGGCAGAGATACAGGCAGAGGGAGAAGCAGGCTCCATGCACCGGGAGCCCGACGTGGGACTCGATCCCGGGTCTCCAGGATCGCGCCCTGGGTCAAAGGCAGGCGCTAAGCCGCTGCACCACCCAGGGATCCCTGGCATTCTGCTTATACAGGTATTGAGGCATTGAATGTCATGATTAAGCACAGGCTCGAGAAACAGCCTGGCTCAAGCCCTGGCTCTGCTACTTTGAAGTAACTTGGTCAAATTACTTCCCTTTAATTCGGTTTCCCTCTTTATAAAATGGGGTTAAGCACATGGGCTGGCACATAGGCTGGCTCCGTGGGTGGAGGTATGGAAGTTCCCTCTCCCCTTTTAAAGGCCCTAGGGGATTGCCACTTCCTGCAGAGATGAAGTCTGTATCTGGTTGGGTTGGCAAGGGGACACCCAGCCAAGCCCTGAGATTCAGAGGGCACAACCCCAACCCTCCCTGGGCTAGCAGTGGCCATGGAGCAGGGGCTAGGGTGGGCAGGCAGAAGCCCCAGGGCAGCTGCAGCAGGTACCCCTCCCCGCCCCCCACCGCCTGTGGCTGTGGAAGGTGGGACCATACACCAGCTGGCTCCAAGGCCCCTCAGGGCTCCTCTGTCCCAGTAGGCTTCACTTACAAAACACACATTTGAAGATAAGAATTTAAAGTGTGGGGCACCTCACCCAGTACCTGGGTGACCACATTGGCCAAAGCAGGCATTGATGCGCACCCAGAAGCCAGTCCTGCTCTCACCTGGGGTTATTTTGAGGGTTAAATGAATGTAATGCAGATACAGATCTAAGACTAATACCTGGCACCTAGTAAGCATGAAACAAATGATACAAATGTTGGCTGCTACTTTTAGCGCCACTATAAATTGAAAACAAGCGTTTTCCAAATACACGTGTTCAACTGATATTTATTATTATTCTGTGCCAGGTGCTATTCTAGGTACTGGCACATGTCATTTATCAGTGTATGACTAACATTTATTATTTGCTTTTGCTCCATGATCTCAGAAGCCTCCAGAACGCCTCATGCCTTGACTTTTGGAACTCACCGAAAGCCATTGGAAGCAATGGCTGGTTCACAATCAAACACCCACAGGTGTGTGCAAAGGCAGTGCACCAGTGGGAACTAGATTCCTGTGTGAACAGCCGCCCTCATTACCTTCTGCACCTCTTTGCCACTGCCAGAATCTCAAAACAAGTCCGTTTGTAAACTTTCCTCTACTCATTACTTTCCCAACCCCTGAAATTCTCAGGATTCACTATGCTGGTTCAGTGATGACTTCTAAACAGCAAATTTACCCGTGGGGAGGAGGGAATCACGAATCTTCGATGGCACATCATGATTCTTAGCACTACCGACTTCCCTCTATTTATTTTAAATTTTACTTAAATTGTATTTGCCAATATATAGTATAAAACCCAGTGCTCATCCCATCAAGTGCCCTCCTCAGTGTTTTTTTTTTTACCACTTTTATTTATTTTTATTTATTTATTTCAATTTAAATTCAACTTGCCAACATATAACACCCGACTTTCCTCAACTCTGCCCCACAGCACTTTCTATGAAGACGGAACTGAATTTTTAATTTCCATTTAATGTTTTAAAAAAGATTTTATTTATTCATGAGACACAGAGAGAGGCAGAGACACAGGCAGAGGGAGAAGCAGGCTCCCTGTGGGGGCAGCCCGATGTGGGACTGGATCCCAGGACCCCGGGATCACGCCCTGATCCGAAGGCAGATGCCCAACCCTGAGCCACCCAGGCGTCCCTTAATTTAACACTTAAGCATTGCTTACGTGTGGCTGTTCTGTTGGTGAGCACAGCTCTTCATATCTGGCTTTTAAAAGGCTTTCCAGTTCACACTCAAAATCATCATTTAGTATTTCCATTATTTCCATTCTTCTAACATGCTTAAAGTCTATCCCAGATAACAAGGGCTGAAAAGGAGAAGAGCTCCCTGGGGAACCCAAAAGTCCCCATTGCACAGTCTGGGCATCAGACAGCGAGCTGGCTGCACGGCTCACCTGGAACCACCGCCTCCTGACTCCCACGTCGGAGCGCGCATCTCGAGGTTCACCGCGCAGAGCGGAACTGGAGACTCAGTTCCTCAGTTTTTAAAAATGAATACAGACTACGTAAGCTTTAACTCGTGCATTTTCTTATCCAGCACCGAGGGTCAGGATGTTGCCTGGTGCGGGAGCGGAGCCGCCGGACCTCGGAGCGCCCAAACCCGCGCATTTATCTTGGCTCGGCTTGCACAGCGTACAGAACACGTGCAGCAGGTTGGTTCTGCATAACTCGTCTGACGAGCCTCGGAGCCTCGACGCCCTCGCCAGCCCGGCTCCCCACCGGCTCAGCCAAACGGCCACCTGCTCCGCGGGCGCGCGCGGCCCCTCCCCCCGCTCCCCGCCCCCTCCCCCCGCCCCGGCCTACCTGCGCGCGCTCCGCTGTCCGCGCCGCCGTCCCCGCCGCCGTCCGCGCCGCCCAGCGCTGCGGCCGCGCGCAGCGCGAGCCCGCAGCTCGCCGACAGGTTGCCCGTGGCCTTCCGCGCCAGGGTCAGGATGGGCGCCGACCAGCCCTCCGACCCCGCCTGAGGCTTCGCCGCGCTCCGCAGTTCGCCAGGGCTAGGCAGCTGGCTGCGGTCCACGATCTCGAACCCTTCTCCGGGTTCCGGCCTCGGTTCCCGCCCCGCCAGGGAGCCGTCTTCCCCTTCGGCCATCTTGGCCGCGTCACGTGGCCCCGGCGGGCGGAGGACTGGGCGCGGGCGGGCGCGCGGGCGGGCGCGCGGGCGGGCGGCGGGCTCCGTCCGGGCGGGCAGGGTTTTTTTTCCTCCCCATCTTCGCGAAGTTCTCCTTCCTCTTCATCACCCTCCTTCTCTCCTTTCTTTAACCTTAAAAAAGTCCAGGAAAGTACAAATCCTAACCTAAAAAGCAGCACCCATATTCCTGGCAGTTGAGAGGACTTGGGTCCAGAAAATGACTCTTGCCCCGCTCCTGCGCCCCCTGCCCCTGGCTTGGAACACAGCCCGAGGGCTTTAGTTTCGTCGTGGCTCGATTTCCTCTTTCTGATTTTCGTTTCATGACTTACTTTTTCTATTTTGACACTTTTCTGCAGCACTCTTCAGAACAGGCTCTAGGCGAGGTAGAAAATCAAGATTTTTTTTTTTTTAATTAAAAAATCCTACGTAGGGACACCTGGGTGGCCCAGCGGTCTGGCTTTGGCTCAGGTAGTGATCCCAGGGTAGTGGGATCGAGTCCTGCATCCGGCTCCTTGTGAGGCGCCTGCTTCTCCCTCTGCCTGTGTCTCTGCCTCTCTCTGTGTCTCTCTTGAATAAATAAAATCTAAAAAAAAAAAACAAAAACAAAAAACAGAAAAACAAAAAACAATACCCGTAATGTCCCACCAGGGATTTTAGGTACAAGTGTCTGGTTGCCTTATTTCTTTTAGCGGTAATTGTGCCTTATTTATATATTGAAATACACTTTACAATTGATTTCTCCTTTATATAATAGGACTTTATATTAATTTTTTTGGAATTTGGAGTGTTGGCAAGCTTATTATCTATGGATTGCATTTTAGAATAGTCAGTGGGCATTATAAAAAATGTATTATCTTGGGGGATCCCTGGGTGGCTCAGCAGTTTAGCGTCTGCCCTTGGCCCGGGGCGTGATCCTGGAGACCCGGGATCGAGTCCCACGTCAGGCTCCCTGCATGGAGCCTGCTTCTCCCTCTGCCTGTGTCTCTGCCTCTCTCTCTGTCTCTCTCATGAATAAATAAGTAAAATCTTTAAAAAAAAAAGTATTATCGGGAATGCCTGGGTGACTCAGTGGTTGAGTGTCTGCCTCCTGCTAAGGTCATGATCCCTGGGCCCTGGGACTGAGTCCCACATGAGGCTCCCTGCAAGGGGCCTGCTTCTCTCTCTGCCTATGTCTCTGACTCTCTCTTTCTGTGTCTCTCATGAATAAATAAATAAATAAATAAATAAATAAATAAATAAATAAATAAATAAAATCTTTTAAAAAAATGTATTATCGAAAGGTTATGATGGGCCCCATAGAGAAGGTAACTGAATTTGCATGTAACTATTTCAAGCCTAGCAACACACAGTAGTTTAAAATTCTTTGTAATTTTACTGTATATGAGGCCAACTTTGGAGAAAATTTGGTAAGAGGAACCTGTGGTTTGGAGCCCACTTGGTGAAGAGGATGTATATGATTATTTTAGGTACAAATAGTAAAACTTAAAAAACACTGTACGGGTTTGTTATTTTCTATAATTTTTCATATGCTTGAAATGTCCTATACTAATTAGAAAGGCCCTATCCCCAAACATGTAGCTCAGTCCCCCCTCCCCATGTTTTCTCCACATCCTCCTGGTCCTTTCTTCAATCTTCTCCAGACCTGTTCTTCTATGCCTTGAATTTCAGCTGCCTGCTGCCTCCTTCTGAGTGTGAGTCTACCCTCTGCCTCATTTTTCTTTCTAATTGTCTGAAGGATTCTCACTACATTTCTCAGACTCCATCTGTCACTCACATCTGGCCCAGCCCTTCTTTTCCCAGTGCCCCTGCCTGCGTGGACTCTCACCTCGCTTTGCAGACACTCTCCAGGACATCTTACATCTTGGGGCTTTACTTTCTCTGTTCTAGGCGAGATTGTTCCTCTGTTCCCAAGACTTAGGCCCGATCCTTTCAGCCCCTTGCTTATAGCTTTCTCTCACTGCTTCCCATTGCAAGAGGCTTCGTGTTTGCATGCTGTGGTTGTGGGCGGCTCATTTTCTCCATGATGTGGACTTTGAATTGAATTAGGCAGCACGGCAGAGTGGGTTCAGTGACTTGCCCGTTCCAAAGTGGTATCCAAAGACATGGAACCTCGTGGCTTCATTGGTATGATGAGTTGGCCCATCAGCTGAAAGCCCCTGTATCTCACATGTAGATGTTTACACTTTTGTTGGCATTTTATAATCTTCAGTATCTGGCCATAGCTGGTACTCTGGCCAGGAATGGCCCATTGAAGCAAATGGCTCTTCTGAACGATGCAATGTGAAGCACACAACATTCTATAATGTTGTGCCTCCCCCCCTTTTTTTTAACATCAAGACCCACCCAGGACACGATAATATTTGCTGTATAACACAGCATTATGAATGGACAGAGGTAACACTTGGGGAATCTGGCTTCCTCAGACTTTACCAGGTCACCCCTGGGCCAAAGGCATCAGTATCTCTGCACAGCTAATAGCCCAAGAGCCTCACTAGTTGAGAAGCTTTGCTCTGCTTTAAGGGGAGTGGAAGTCTGTCTACTTCCCAGTAAAGAATATTACAAATGCTTTTAAATTTCTGCCAAAGGAAAACCAGAACTGAGTAACAAATATCAATGTTTGGCTCCATCTAGTGGTCCAAAGTGGATTTGACAATTTCTGTCCATCCTCATGTAGCCATTGCAGTCTACAAGGCCCTGTGTGATCTGACCCCTGCCAACCTTTCTGACTCCATTTCATTATCATTATCTGTAGATTTCTTTTTTTTTTTTAAGACTTTATTTATTTGAAAGAGATAGTGAGAGAGCACTAGCAGGGGGTGGCGAGAGGGAGAAACAGACTCACCATTGAGCAGGGAGCCCAATGCGGGGCTTGATCTGGGACTCTGGGATCATGACCTGAACCGAAGACAGATATTTCACCGACTGAGCCTCCCAGACACCCCTATCTGTATATTTATTAAGTCCCACATGATTTCTTTCTGTTTCTTAAGCAGACCACATTTATTCTTTGCATATGTTTTTCCCTCTTTCCTTGGAATGATTTTCTCCTAATCTTAGCCTGATTGACTCTTTATCAACATCTTTCATACTCAAGCTCAATTCAACTTTCCAGAGACACAGTCCCTAACTGCTCTAAAACACACACACCTCCCAGCCTCCAGGCCCTCTTGGGCACTTGACCCAGTTTTATTTCCTCTATCAGTTCCTGACGGGTAAGGAATAAATTACCTTAAAAAATTCAACGGGAATGATGGTTTCCTGCCGAATTTTATTTAAGTAGGGTTATCTCCCCTTCCTACAATGGAGCTCAGAGGGAAACTTGTCCCTCTGGGTCACTGCTATATTCCTGGGGCTCAGAACCACACCCATGTGTTAGTGACTAAACAACAAAAGCTTATTTCATGATCACGCCACACAGCTACCTTCATTGCCGGAGTTTCTCCCCATCCTTTCCTCTTGGGCAGGGGGCTGGAAGAGGCCCCATCCTGTGGAACTTCTTTGTTATCCCAGCAGCGGGAAGGAGCAGAGGAATAGTGATCTCTGCTCCTAAAGGCTTCGTTATAGAAGTAACCCAGGTTCTTCTGCTCACATTCGGTTGGCCAGAGTGGACACATGGCCAGGCTTCACTTCAAGGGCATGGGGGTATGCAGTCCTACCATGTGCCACGGGAGGAACCAGACTGTTTATGAGCTCTGATAATGCCAACAGCTTGGTCATCATGAAGTTGATGTGTTGTAATTTCTTTTGGAAATGGATCACAATGGCCTGGTTCTTTCTATATTAAAGAGGCATGAGTCCTGGTCACTTGGCTAACACGTCATTCAGTCCTCAAAGCCTTTGGTGTCCTGTTTGGGGTCAGAGCCACACATGTGCATGTTGAGAGTGAGCCCAGGACTGCATATACAACTTTATGGGACTCCAAGGAGAGAGATGAATAAGAAAGCACAGGGCTGAAGCTTCAAGACCAAGCTTACTTGGGATCGGGGCCCAGAGAGAAAAACCAACCAACCCACCAACCAAGGGGAGTCCCTATTCTCTCTATCTCTTATATATAAGGGTTCTCTGCTTGCTCCACAGACAATAAAGGGAGGGCTTCTCTTAGAACATTTTTTTTTTCTCCTCTTGGAGCCATTTTTGTTTGTATCCTGGATATAATTCTAGAATCTGTGCTGCCTTTGAACCTGGACCATGAGATATGGGAGAAAAAGACCCCAAGCGACTGACTGCCAGTTTCTTCTCCAGTCTGTCCATCACCATTTATTCTTCAGAGACCTCAGAGAACTGTGGCATGGATTGTGTCTGGAATTTTTGGCTACATTCAGTGGCAGAGATGGAGTGGACTGTGTTCACTCTATTTTCCTTGGGGCCAGAATCTCTAAATACTTTTTAAGAAGATCTAAGAGATATCTTAAGTTGCATTTAAATTTTTCCTTTTTTCTTGTGGGAAGTTTGGCTTAAATCAACCAGTCTGCCATTGCTAGGATCAGAATTTCAGGGTCAGTTTATCAAGCTCTATAATAAATCCAGTTGGAGTTATAGTGGAATTGCATTAAATTTATAGGTTAATTTGAGGGAGACCTTTATTAATTAATTAATTAATTAATTAAAAATTTTAATTTTTTTAAATTTATTTATGATAGTCACACACAGAGAGAGAGAGAGAGAGAGGCAGAGACACAGGCAGAGGGAGAAGCAGGTTCCATGCACCCAGAGCCCGACGTGGGATTCAATCCCTGGTCTCCAGGATCGCGCCCTGGGCCAAAAGCAGGCGCCATCAAACCGCTACGCCACCCAGGGTTCCCTGAGGGAGACCTTTAAAGTGCTGCTAAGCTCCTTCTTCGGATGATCTTTTATGTTCTTTTAAAAAAGATTTTATTTGGGATCCCTGGGTGGCTTGGCTTTTTGGCACCTGCCTTTGGCCTAGGGCGTGATCCTGGGGTCCCAGGATCGAGTCCTGCATC